ACCTTCGCTGACTGAAAAGGCGATAAAACCTAATGATATGACAGTATTAGGATATTACCTGTTCTTAATATCAGCTTCTCTACGTCCCAGCCTTGGGGTATCAACAGTAAGGGCTATAGCCTTGAAACCTGCCCTTTCAGCTCTTCTCACAAGCTGAGCAACAACATTCCTGTCCTTGTAGACCTGAATACATGAGAGGATAGATACAGTTTAGACATAATATAATGTGCGTACATTTGTCTTAAATTCTAACTGCAACTTCATGCTCACATAAAGCTGGAAGAAACGGATGCCAGGTCCTGTTGAAGCAACCTCCTCGACACTGGAAGTGGCCCAAGATGACAATGTCTGAAACACAAATTTGTGTTACGTTAACAAAGTGAAAAACACCACATTCTAAGTCACAGTTAATTCTTCTTTTATATTTCCCATGTCCTTTAGATCATAAAAGAGGCTTCAGGAGCCTTCTGAAGAACCAGAAAATCATTGTTCTAATACGTAATTCCTCTCTCTTTTGCAGGACAGTGATAACAGTAACTTACAAGGCTATGACTTGATTTAGCTGCTCAAATAAAGAGGCAGTGATCAATTGTACTATGTATGCAATTCATCCACAAGTATATGCAAGACTTAAATGAGAAGCCAAAGTTGGCCGAAATTGTATCAATTGCACTATTCATTTCAAAATAAGTTTTAAAGGCACTAACCATTGGCTGCAATTATATTGGGATTGGAAAGATTCCAAAAATATTTTTATCGACATCATGTAAGATCAGCTATGAGTCCATCATATTTCTAATCCAATGGCATTATAGCTCATGGGTGTAAAAAATTTTGGTCATGTGCTATCTGCTTGTCCAAAAGGCCAAGCCAATGTAACCGGAAAGGAAGAGTTTGATCCTGGCTTTTTAAAGTTAAAGTTGCTACAAAAAACCAAGTGACACTAACCATGATTGTGCCTGCTGCTGATGCCGCTCTTGCTGTAGCATACTCCCCTACATAAAGCAACCAAGTAATCAGACTTACAAGACACTTAACAGTTTGTCCACATTAAGAATACTCGAGCCCTCAAAATTAACTATAGCCGTCTGAACTCTACTAAGATTTATGGATAAATAATTAAACCAGACGTGACCAACAGTTTTCTCAAGTAGACAGAGCTCAAAGCCTTTTAGAAATGCATGGAGTTGGCAAATGCAAATTCACAATTCTCCTGTTTTATTGCAGCAGGTCTTTAATTGAATAATCCATTAACTTATTAACTGACATTATGTCCTTTGAGTTAGCTGTGATAGCACGAAACAAATTCTTAGTTATGCCAGTAGAGTCCAGATAGTAAACTTTAAGTAACTTGTATGAGTGCAAGGTATACCTTCAGGATGTGCCATTTTCTGCATGGCTGTTGGTGCAATCATGATAGGCATTGAAATCTTGAATCCTAGCACTGTGGTGCTCATGTCCATTTTGCTCACATCAATGAGAATACGGGGCCTAAACCTGTATCAGTTGAAAAAGAATACAACATATATGTGAATATAACCCAATAGTCATATTTTACGTAGGCAAATTCAGGAATTAGACCAAGAGCCGCTTACAGAATTCTTGAGAAGGCATTTCTGTTCTCAGCCAGAGTCCACTGGTCTTCAGCACCAGAGGCATAGTAGTCAAAAACCATCTTTGGCAACTTTTTCTTGGCAATGGCCTCATACTCCATGACATTTGTTACTTCCTCCATCTTTAGCAAGTTATTTGTGCTCCTCCTTTAAAATTCCTGACGCTACACAAAATTTAGCACATTAAGATGCTGGATGAGTTATTGTCTTATAATTATCTAAGCTCAGTCTGTGAAGTCTCTATTGCACATACATAAATACAAGATGGCAACCAAGGAAGATGTTTTACCTCAAGACACTCTATCTAGATCATTTTCCAGTGTTTGGTTGGGTATAAAGTAACTTATCATTATATAAAGTATAATGATAGTATTTTGTTGAGATTTTTTAAGTATTAAAGATCAATAATAATGTCTAAAAGTTAGTTAAAGCAAGTGATATAAAGTAAGAGTCAGCGTTCGAACTCTGCCGCAACAAAAGCTTAAGTGGAAAAGGGTAGAGGATCAGGCCATTACACCGAGTTTCGCCGTGCGCCATTGGCCCTCCCTCCAGGATTACTCGGTTATCAAACGAAAAATACTCGGTTATTAAAGAAGATGACTTCACAAATAAGTGAGGGAAGTCATTGACCCCTTTTGGTGGCAGCAATCAAAGACCAAAATGACTTCATCATGTAAAATGTTTTCCAGAAAAATGTTTTCATCATACCAAACACACTTAATTAGTGAAGAAGAAGTATCCATCAAAGATGTAAAAGCAACTAAGACAAACAATAGATTCTCTATGAGAGTATATGATACAAGAATATGCCTTACTCGGGATTGAGAAAGAACCAGCATCAAAGAGATGAAAGTCACACATTTGAAGAAATAACAAACAAGAACAAAGAAATCTGGCAGAAACAGCACAGACCAACAGAATAAAGGAAGCAACAAAGACAAATGATCTAAAAGTAAGAAAGCTGAGTCTTTTAGGCATTAAATGCTACTCTTCACTTGAATTAACAAATAAAGCATGAAACATGCATGCAGTAAATAGAGCTTACAACTAACAGGACTCAAACAACCAAAGATTCTTGAAAACAAAACTAAAGAAAGAGTAAGGAAGTCTATAGGACAGACCTTGGACTCCCAAGCTGTTGAGAACTCTTTGAGCAGAGTGAAATGTAACCAGTGGACAACTGGTTGATAAAATAGTAGAGGAAAAAACAAGAAATAATACTGACAAAGTGGGCAAGAAAATAATTAAATAGGAATGAAGAAAAAGACAAATGGAAGTGGGGTGTGGATGAAGAGAGAAGCACAAATTTGAGGATCAGTTTTTGGAGGTGAGTATTTTAAACCATATCTGATTAGAGGGGCAAATGGATGGCTCTCTACCACATGCATCTTCTGTGTTTCACAGTTTCCCTTCACTTTCATCCAAACAATAATTTCCCAAAAATCATTCATCTACTATACATCATTCAACAAAAAGTCCATAGCTTTTTATCATAAGTCATCTTAATAACCTGCCACTTGTCGTTATACAGAATACCAGACGGTTATAAGGAGATAAGAAGTAAATGAAGATAAGGGGGTGAGAATTGAGAGTCGCTGTTTTCTAGCAAAAGAGATACTGCTAAAAGTCCAAATTGTTAGTTCACTACCCATTGGTAAGAGTGCCACTATAGAACAGTTCGGCACACGTGAAACTTGAATTATGGCTCCATTGTTAAATAGCCACAACTATAGGCATATTGGTTAGGCAGTTGAGCATTACCATGTCATGAGTCTGATCTGAATTTACAGTATACAGTTTTTTCACACCTATAACAATAAATAACTACCCTCCCTGTGGCTGCAACAGCAATAGAGAATTAATCCAGTTGTTCAGTAAACAGGTCAAGTAGTCAATGGCAGTCTTTATGTTCTAATCTTGGTGCTCTTATTAGGGCAAGTGCTTTCTATTAAGAATAACATCAAGCAGCGAATAGCTAACGAAACACTGACCTTAGCATGTAAGAGACTTGAAATTTTGAAAAGAAAAAGGAAAAAAAAAACAGGAAAATATTCAATGGCTTAGTGATACACTAGTGCAAGCCCATGTTTTCCACTTGTTTGCCCTCGCACTGTTATATGAGACACTAAAAATTTGATTTTGAACTCTTCATATCATCTAATCTAACTAGGTCTATTATTACCCAATAGAATGGAATTGGACTGAGAGCTAGCGCTCCCTCGTATAGGAAGTCACGCCTGGGAGAGAGCAAGAGTGTGGAATACGGGAATGCCGTGCTGGGCAGCTTGCACTCCCCAAAATTTAGAGAAATGAATAGCAATGTGAAAATTATTGAAGACTATAGTACGCAGACAATAGAGCAATCTCTTTGTGTAATAACCCAATAAATAACAAATATATGTACAAGTACATAGAGCACTAACTATAACTCAAAAAATAACAAGTATATATACAAGTACATAGAGTACTAACTATATAAAGAATCAAAAAGGAAATCCTATAAATCTGGTGTGAATCTCTATAATTCTGCTAGCTTTGTACATTCTATGTTTATTACGTCGTATATGTCTACGTTCATTATGTTGTAATACTTTCCCTCAAGTTGGAGCATAGATATTAATCAGCTGGTTGCTCTTCTGTCTTCACGCAGCTAGTGGAGATTAAGTTCTCCTAAACCTTTTCAAGAATAAAATGGTAGTCAACCTCAATATGCTTTGTTCTTTCATGATACACAGGATTTGATATAATATGGAGGGCAGCTTGATCGTCACACTAGAGTTTTTCTGGTATTGAAAGCTCCAACTCAGTTTCAGCCAAAAGATAATGTATCCATATAATCTGACACATAGACTATGACATAACTTTATACTCGGATTCCGCATTAGATCGAGATACAACACATTGCTTCTTACTCATCTATGATACCAGGTTCCCTCTAACAAAGACATAATAGCATATAGTAGATCTTCTATCAATTTTGGATCCAACATAGTCAGCATCTGCAAAATACTCAATACGAGTATGGATGTGATTGCTATATAATTAATATGCCAAGTACATGAGCTCCTTTCAAGTAACATAAAATTTGTTCCAAAGTTGCCCAATGTTTGATCGTTGGTGCGGGCATGAACTGGTTAACGACACTTATTGCAAAAGCAATATCTGTATCTTTCTAGATTATCAAAAAGATCTATATTGTCTTTCACAAGTTGCACATCAGAAACCATTGGAATACTATAGGGTTTAGCTACCAACTTTCCAGTTTCTTTGAGACACAAGAATTTTCTTCTTGCTTCTATTTACTTCTGCTCCCAAAAAGTATTTCAACAGGCCCAAGTCCTTTGACAAAACATAGTATGCAAGAAAGACTTGAGGTAAGATATCGCCTCATAGTCACTTCATGTGATAACAATGTCATCAATATATACAACAAGGAGGGAATAGTGCCAATTGTTGATTGCTAATAGAAGATTGAGTGATCACACTTGCTCATTTTTAGCCCAAACTCCTGAACTACTTTACTGAACTTGCCAAACCAAGATCAAGGACTCTGCTTCAAGCCATACAAGAACTTCTTCAAATGGCAAAATTCCTTGTACTCTCTTTGAGCAACAAAACTGAGCGGTTGCTTTATATACATTTTCTCTTGAAGATCACCATGAAGAAACGCATTTTCAAAAAATCCAATCCAATTGATGTAAAGGTCAATTCTCGGAAGTAGCTACAAAAATAATTAAGCAGACAGAAGTGAATTTGGCAACCTGAAAGAAGATGTCGAAATAATTCACCCCATAAGTTTGAGTATACCCTTTAGCCATAAGTCTGGCCTTATGTCTTGCCATAGAACCATATGGATTAACTTTAGTTGTGAACATCGACTTACATCCTACTAGTTTTTTTTCTTGGGTAAATCCATCAAATCCCATGTGTGATTATCCTCTAAGGCATGTATTTTTTCAAGTATTGCATCATACCATCTGGGATGATTCAAAGTCTTCTTCACTATTTTGGGTACCATGATAGAGTCCAGACAAGCAATCATAGATCTAGATGTAGAGGATAAGTGGTTATAGTAAATAAAATTAGCAATAAAATATGTGGACTTGCAAGTATGTGTACCTTTGCGAAGAGCAATAGGAAGGTCAATGTTTTTCTTAGGATTAGGCGGAGAAAAATATGATATCGATGGGACTATTGTAGGATATATATCATTTGTCTCTCGCCTCTGCGAGAAAACTTGAATAATTAGCCATCTTGCTAACACAATTAGAGCAGGTGCTGAAGGCATAATAATTGTTTGGTTCTCAACAGAACAACTAGGAGATGGACGGACATCATCTGATTGTTCTATCAAAATATTGGTAACCTGGTATACTGCTACTCATCTTCCTTCCCCTGTTATAGAAATGGAAGGTGTTGTAGTCTCTGAAAATACCACATTATTTGCCACTAGATATATATCAAGTTTAGTAGAATAATATACCTCTTCTAGAGGCGATAATAGCTCAGGAAAATATACTTCAATGCCTTGGAATCTAATGATAATAGATGGTCAAACATCTCGAACATATCATGTGCATCCAAATACCTTAGGTTCCGCTGAAAATAATTACTTGTTTAGTAAAAGAACAATGTAAGGCACATTACCACCACGCACAATAGATGGCGTATGATTAACCAGAAAATAAGCCGTAGAGACCGCATTAACTTAGAACTATTTAGGAACCTTCATTTGGAATAGAAGTGTCTGAGCTGTCTCAAGTAGATGTCTATTCTTTCTCTCAACAACTCTATTTTAAGAGGGTATATCAATATATGAGGACTAATGTAGTATATCATGTTATCTCATGTACGACCTATATAACTCTGACATGTATTCTTTAATGTTATCGCTCTTTAGAATATCCACCGAAATATTGAATTGAATTTTGACTTCAGCATAAAAGGTGAGTAGACAATTTAGCGCGGCTCTTCATAAAGTAAATCCAAGTCATTCGAGAAAAATCATCTATAAAAATGACAAAATACCTATGTCCAGTTTTAGAAACAACAGAACTTGACCCCCCAAACATCAAAATGAGCTAACTCAACTCACTTATTAACCCTTTGACCTAACGAGATGTGATGGTATTCTACAAATCGGCATGACTTACGATCCAATGAAAAAATATTCTAAAACTAAGGATAGAGCTTCTTCGACAAAGATAGAGAGAGAATCTTTATCGATAAGGTGGCTCAAAAGGAGACACGATACTAGAGCATGCAACAGACTTTTGCTCTCATTCTTCAAAGATGTAGAGATTACTAGATACATATCTTTTATAATATTGTATCTAAAGTGTTTAGCCATGATTTTTTTTTGTATTTAGCTACGATATATTGTAGCTATATATGCATAATGTTGTAGAGTTGTATTGTTTATTTCTAAATCAAACGATCCATAAATAATTACCTCATAAGATGGCACATGAGAAGCAGGTGTCGTCAAAGATGGAGAACGATTTATTAGTCACCCAATGGACCACCTAACCCAATAAACACAAATGATATTACTTCATCCTTCTCGTTTTATATGATTTGTGTTTGATTGAACATCAAAATTTGCATAAGGCTTTTGAAATGTAAGTCAATATATAAAGTATCAAAATTATTATTTTAAACGAGTGGTGGTTACAATTCCATGTGTTATCTCCTTATATAAAAGAACGAAATTTTATATCAAGTAGGCCCCAATGTCATGTCATTAAAGGTATAATATGAATGTTAAGGTCAAATACTTTCAACAATTTATTTTTTTATGATATACTAAAGAAGAAAATGTATCATATAAAATAGAATTGATGGAGTAATTTAAAGCTGATTAAATATGCAAAAGGTTATATAATTGCCACGATCCAAACCGAAGGGTATAAAAATTTATATATGTGATATACGGGCCTATAAAGCCAAGCATAGGTCGACAAGGCCATACAAGTATACATATACATGACATCTATCTACAAGCCTCTAAGAGCACATTAGCGTTATAAAAGTCGGGACAGGGCCCCGCCATACCAATCAATACATGTTCAAATCATACTAACCAAATAGGCAACTCCGGAGCAAGTGGAGTGCACTAACACCTTCCGCTGAGCCGATAGCCTATTAAAAGGACTGCCAACCTGTCTATCGGGACCTGCAAGCATTAAACGCAAGCGTCCCCAGACAAAAAGGACGTTAGTACGAATAAAGTATCGAGTATGTAACAC